GTGTTTAAAAAAAAACGCACGACAACTAACCAAGGTTAGGGACAATTATATTTACCTTTTAGATAGAAAGCTCTTTAAACAGTTTTTTTAAGACAAGCTTGGAACTGATTTCATTAATCGGCTTTTTGAATAAATATAACTGAATATCATCAGCATAACAATGGATTTTCAGACTTTTCTGTCTAAAATTTCACCTAATAAAAAGGTAAAAGTAAAGAGCAATAATTCATACATTAAACCCTGAGAATGACGTGACTAATTCAAGTGTATTAATACGATTAATTGTTGAACAGACTAGAATCTGACAGTTAAATATGATTTAAACCACTGAGAGCTGTCCCTGTAAACTAAAAACCACATTCAAGCATCTGTAAAAGAAAATTATCAGTAGAACACAGCACTGAGATCTATTAGGACAAATATAGACACAGGTCTACTGTCTGATGCCATGAGAATATCATTAGTAACTTTCACCAGGCCTGTTTCTGTGCTATGATGAGCTCAAACCCCTTACTGAAACTCCTGGACAGAAATAATCTGTCTGAGAACACTTTGCAACTATTTTCTCAATGATTTCTGAGATGAATCAGAGATTAGTAAACTGTAGGTTTATATTTAGACAGAACTCCTATCAGGTTACTTGAGTAAATGTTTAATTACAACAACCTTAAAACTATGTGGTACAGAATCATTTAATAAAGACAGATTACGCAGATCTAAAATGGGTATAATAATCACAGGAAACGCCTTTTTGAAGACTTGATTTGGGATGAAGCAGATACGTTGATAATTTGGATGAAGCCAGTGTTTTTGATACTTCGGAAAGCTCAACAGGAGAAAAACAGTTAAAACACAAATCAGGTTCCAGTGACCTCTAAAGCTGTTTTATTTAATAGTGAACCAAAGCCAACAGGGTAGTGCACTATTTTTCCAATTGGATGAGAAAAAAGGGTACATGACACAGCGGAATTAGAACACCTAATTACTACAAAAACAGCACTAAAACAGCACTAAAAGAAAACCTGGTAATTATTATTATATACAATTTGAGGTATTACTTTAATAGTCACTAATAGTCAAATCTGTTTTATTTGCATGCCACAGCCACAAACAGTTCCATTGGGCCTCATGCAAGAACATGTTCGTATTTTTATCCTAAATTTCTCTTACTTTTGTTCGTACAAAGGGTTCGTACGAACATGTCACGTCAGATTCAACACTCTTTTATCTTCAGGAAACGTGCGTAAATGAGCTGCGTAAAATTCCACCTGTTCTATCCAGCTGCTCGTGCATGCGAGAGGAGATTAGCATAATTACCACCCCAAAAACACCATATAAGGCTATGAT